AAGGGTGCGAATGGTAACCATTCTGCTTCAGAAATCAAATTCTTGCCAGAAATTGATTTCTGGAATTCTTACCAGAAATTGATTTCTGGAGGAGAAATCTGTTTGGTAAAACATGACTAATTCTGCTCCAAAAATTGATTTCTAGAACAGAAATTTGTTTTGATTTGTTGATTTTTTTTCACCTAAAAAATTTAAATTTTACTCAAAGTGGGTGGCCATAGGTATTATAAGCCATTATGTGAAGTTTTGAAATTTTTGATTTTTTTTATTTTTTTTGGGCACCTCAAAAAATTTAAATTTCACTCAAAGTAGGTGGTCACATGTATTCTAAGCCATTTTGTGAAGTTTTAAAATTTTTTATTTTTTTATTTTATTTATTTTTTGAGCACCTAAAAAAATTTAAATTTTACTCAAAGTGGGTGGCCACAGGTATTATAAGTCATTCTGTGAAGTTTTGAAAATTTTAGTTTTTTTTATTTTTTTTTAGCACCTCAAAAAATTTAAATTTCACTCAAAGTGGGTGGCCACAGGTATTCTAAGTCATTTTGTGAAAGTTTGAAATTTTTTTATTTTTTTTAAAATTTTTTGGGCACCTCAAAAAATTTAAATTTCACTCAAAGTGGGTGACCACGAGTATTCTAAGTCATTCTATGAAATTTTGAAATTTTTGATTTTTTTTGGACACCTCAAAAAATTTAAATTTCACTCAAAGTGGGTGGCCACGAGTATTCTAAGTCATTCTGTGAAGTTTTGAAATTTTTTATTTTTTTATTTTTTTAAAAAAAATTCACCAAATTTCATATTTTCCTGAAATCTAATTTTTTTTATTTTCTGGAAATTTTTATGAATTTTTCTAGAATTTTTTAATTTTATGCATTTTCTGAAAAAAAAAATTTGTGAGAAAAGAGGGAGAATGCATTCCGGAAGAGAGAAGCTACAAAAAGTAGCTTCTCTTTTTCTTGCCAAAAACTCATTCTGGAATCAAGAATGCATTCTGGAATCAAGTATTTTTAACAAACGCATTTTTTTTCCAGAATGTAAAAATCGCTCTAGAATGCATTCCAGAAATTTTTTAACAAACGCATTTTTGTTCCAGAATGCATTCTGGAACAGAAATTCTGCTCTAGAATGGATTTCATGCGCACCCTAAAAGTACAAAAAGTTGTGTACGGTACTCACTTTAGTACCAAAAATTTTTTTTGGATAACTTGAGTGTAACTTTTTTTAAAAAAACGATCACTTAAGTATCAACTCCGGTTTAGTTCGCCTGAAATCCGACTTAGCCATTTTTTATTAATTTTTCCATCCGACTTGGCTCACCGGCATGCCCAGTAAGCATGTATAGCCCAAAACCACGTCGTTTCTGTGTTTTGCCCCAAAATATAAACTCTAAATCACAATTTACAAGGAAATTTCCAAATGGGAACCTTTTCAATTTGCCCCCAATGCAGATGGACTGATGTTATGGTTGGTAATGAACGAACTTCAAGACGAAGTATTACCTTTTCAAACCTCTTCGATTTGCCCCCCGATGTCGTCTCGGTCTCTTCCTTATCAGAATTGAGGGCGAAGAATTACCTTGTCAATGAAGCATATCCTAGTCGTGGTTGGTAATCAAGTTGGAAAAAGAAGCTCCTGGAATTGTGGATGACGAAGATCGAAGCTAGCGAGGGAGTAATGAATGAGCTCGAGGCACTTCACAGTCCTTGGCCGAGAAGCAGTGCAGAACATAGGACTTGCGTGTGGTGGTGGAGATGGCCTTGAAGGTGGGGTTGTTGGGCACAGACAGCGAACAAACTAGAGAGTTGATGTCTTAGAGGCGTTGGCGATGGTGATCGGCGCATGCGAAGAAGGATTGAGCAAACGCAAAGAGCCTCGGTCGCTCTGATAAGAAAAACAAAGCAGAACAGAGGCGCGGTCGGCGAGAGGGCTTGGAAGACGACGTATGCGTCACGGAGGCGGGGATTCTCGAAGGAGATGGATGGGTAGATGGCGACGCTCTTGTTGCGGTGGCTGCACTCGTCGAGGCAGTGGAGGAGGTGGCGGTGCTTGGCGTGGTGGGTGATGGTTCCATGGGCGATGGTGGAGAGGATGGTGAAGGAGGAGGAGACGAAGAAAATTTAAAAAGAACTTCAGAACGACGTCGTTTCACACAAACATGGCCATGTTGAATTGTGATGTCGTCCACGTGGACTGGTTTTTAAAAAAAATAATGTCACATCAAATAAAACTTTAATTATAAAAGCCACATAATTTTTTGATCGGAAATTCTCATCGAAGGCACTTAAATGACCGTTTTTTTTTTTCCAATTCAACATTTAAATAAGCCGGCAATAACTTTTTACATTAAAGTGAGCATCATACATAACTTTTGATACTTCTAATGTCCTTTTCTCATAATATTAGTGTTAGAAGTAAGGTTATGAGTAGGCACATTTCACATGTTTGATTATTTTAGCATTATTTTAAATCTTTTTTAATCAATTTGGGTTTTTTTTTATTAGTCAACATATAAAATTAAGTTATTACATAGCTGTCAAACATCTATAACTCATTACTAGTAACCTCTCTGTACATTAATGGTTTCCAATTAGGCACCTTTAATTTTTTTTACTCCTTTCAATTGGTTTATATTTTTTATTAAAATGAAGGGAAATAGGCATCACAAAACTCCACTCTACAATTCTTTTACTATTTATATATTTTAAATTTTTTAACATAAGACGGGTGTACTTTTTTCAATTAGTTTGACATACTAACGACCTATTTGTAAAATTTTATGGGACCACTAACTTTTCAGAAAAATTACTAAATTAGTCCTAAACATATTGTACAATATCAATTAATTCATAAACTTTTCAATTTGGTCATTTTAATCCTAAACCTTTTAACGATTTGTCATTGTAATCTTTCTAATCAATGTCAGCCGCCAATCGTTAACATGGATGTCGGCTGTCATTGTGACACAGTCGGCGTTGACATGAATAATTTTTTTAGCTTTATAATTTTTTTTCTTTCTTTATTTTCATTTTTTTTTCTACTAAGTCCGAGCAGGGCTTCACGGCCCTTTCCTTTGTTTTCCTACTAAGTAGTAAAAAAAAAAGGGTTAATACCACGAAAAACCCTAAACTGGTACACTTGTGACAGATTTACCCCAAACTATTTTTTTTACCATAAAAAACCCCAAACTGGTACATCTGTGACAATTTTACCCCGAACTATTTTTTTGACCACCAAAAACCCCAAACTGGTACACCTGTGACAATTTTACCCCGAACTATTTTTTTGACCACCAAAAACCCCAAACTGGTACACCTGTGACAATTTTACCCCGAACTAATTTTTTAATATTATTTTTTTTATTTTTCGAATGTTTTTAGTTTTTCTTTTCTTTTCTTTTTCCTTTCCTTTTCTCTTTTTTTTCCTTCATCTTCATTGGACCAACAATGGATTGTTATATTATAATTGATACCACAATAACATGACACGTAACATAAATGCTACATTTTGACCCAAAAAAAAACATAAACGCTAAATGAAAGACTTTCTTTTATATACATGAATTTTCATGACAACCACTTTTTTCTACATTTAAATGTCTCACGTTTTATTTATTATATATTTCAAGTGATCATATTGATTTATGAATGCCATGCACATATAATATCTCTCATCTTATATATAAAATATACTAATTTTGTAAATTAATCTGTTAAATTAAATTGGCAAGCAAGACGTATAGAAATTGTTGATTAGCTGTACTCCAAGCTTAGGTAACAAGCCTACGTTGGACCCCATCAGTTTGCCTATCCACTTGCACCCAAAAATAAGAAAGACACGACAACAATATAATGTCTTTTTCGCGAGACATTTAAATGTAGAAAAAAGTGGTTGGCATGAAAATTCATGCATATAAAAGAAAGTCTTTCATTTAGCGTTTATGTTTTTTTTTTTGGGTCAAAATGTAGCATTTATGTTACGTGTCACGTTATTGTGGTATCAATTGCAATATAACAATCCATTGTTGGTCCAATGAAGATGAAGGAAAGAAAAAAAGGAAAGGAAAGGAAAAAGAAAAGAAAAGAAAAACTAAAAAAATTCGAAAAATAAAAAAAATAATATTAAAAAATTAGTTCGGGGTAAAATTGTCACAGGTGTACCAGTTTGGGGTTTTTGGTGGTCAAAAAAATAGTTCGGGGTAAAATTGTCACAGGTGTACCAGTTTGGGGCTTTTAGTGGTCAAAAAAATAGTTCAAGGTAAAATTGTCACAGATGTACCAGTTTGGGGTTTTTTATGATCAAAAAAATAGTTTGGGGTAAATCTGTCACAAGTGTACCAGTTCAGGGTTTTTCGTGGTATTAACCAAAAAAAAATATAAAAAATATAAAAAACTCTAAAAATTTTAGAAAATTGCAAATATTATTCATGTCACTACCGACTATGTCAATAGGACGACAGACATCCACATTAGTGATTGTTGGCCAAAATTGGCTGGAAAACTACATTGGCAAATCATCAACAGGTTTAACACTAAATTGGCTAAACTGAACAATTTAGGACTAAATTGGCATTTGTACAATAGATTTAAGACTTTTTTTGTAATTATCCCCTAACTTTTGCCTAAGTCTAAGTGTGCACATATATAATAAAGGAGCAAATAAGGGACATGGAAAAATTTGAATCTAGGAGTCAACTGCTAAAAACTCTTAAGCTATTAGATAATAGTGTGGTTTAATATTTAAATATTTTAATGCTCCCATCACATGTATGCTGGACTTTTGTTTTAAAAACTTAAGCTATAGGATGAAAACGTGGTTTAATATTTAAACATTCTAAGGTATTGCTTCGGATCATAAGCACCAAAATATCCTTCTCAATTAAGTATATGAAGGACATATATTGTAGTATTGTATCATAATCCATACAATAATCACTAAGTTTGATTCACCCAATAGTAAACTTCGATTCAAACCAACCTGAACACTCGTTTTTCTGAACATTTTTGGCAAATATAAGTAATATGATTCTTGCATTCGATGAAATTAAAGGGGGAGTCCAGAAGGCATCGGTCCATAGAACCTATAAAAATAAAAAGAGATGGTTATGACGTGAAGCTCTAATGTACGTTCAGCGGAAGGGTTAATACCTGGATGATCTTAATTACCAATAGAACTTAACCATACAGTCTAACTAATGGAGCTTTGCCTGAGGTAAGAGGGGAGATCAAAGATTATCTTCCCCATTATATCTCCAAATATAGATTATTGCACTTCATTTCAAGTACTCTTTTACAGCATAATTAAACATTAGCTTTTACATCGAAGCTTCCAACAAATGTTTACAAAATACAGAAGCTGAAGCTCTGGAAATTTGCCTCCGAGATGCCTTCGTAGTTTAATTTGCATTTGTGGGTTTTAGAAATTCCACAAGTTAGGACTTAGTCCACAGTCCCATAACTTTGGATGAAACTCTTCATAACCTCCATCGGTCGTGGGTCCATTCACGAATGTTTTCAACCGTTCGGATATCGTTGTAGCGCCTAAACCGGACTCACCGATCTGTAAAAACATCAAGAAATTCCCAATAAATATGAAGCTACTCTAAGAATTAGGTTTTACCCGGAAAAAGAAATTTTATCAACTAATCCTACCACGAGAGCAATGAATTTCCCCACTTCTTTTGAAAATGATTGATGTGTACTATTAGAAGGCGAGTTCCAATTCAATAAATGGAGATTAAGTACGTACCTTTGCATGCACCAAGTGGTAAACCGAGTTCCTGACGACGGAGAAGTTGGCATTGAGTACCTCGACCTTTTCCTCGTGGAGCATCCGGAGAATCTCCGAGAAGATGAACTGATCATGTAGCCCGCTAATTAATATCACCTCCAAAGAAGAATCTCTCACGCTGATCTCAATTTGAGGTGATATTATGGCCGCTGACTCGTTGCTGCTTGTGCTTGAGCTTGGTCTCTTCTTGCCCATTAGGTTTTCTTTCTTAACCTTGGCTTCCTTCACTGCTGTCTCTAGGCCCTTTATGTATCCTATGGCTTCATCTATCTGGTCTGGCAGTGATTTTGCTTCCTGTATTATTCATCATGTCAAAGGTCCTCTCGTAATGAAAACGACTCAAACATGTGCATGTACATGCAAATGGATGTGGAGGACAACGTATTTCAGGTATCAACGTCGTATGTATATTACGTGTCCCCATAACATAATCACCTTGATCAAACGTGTACCTAAGTTTTAAAACTTCATAAGTTCAATGATCGATGAGGATATCAAGAGATGTATAACGCAGAGGTGACAATTTCCAACATGAATTCACACATTTCTAGAAGCAAAAGAACGACACTAATCGATATGAACCGATAATACATAAGTCTTTTGTAGTGACACGAATTTGCAACCCCAGTATAATAGGTGAACATGAACTAGAGAGAGAGAGAGAGAGAGAGACCTGATCAGACGGCTGAGTGGGGAGGAGGGAGTTGAGCACGGAGAAGAGATGCTTCATCCGATTCCTCCGGTTCTTCTCGATGATCTTCCTCTCCGTTCTCCTTGAAGTCGAAGGCTGAAGACCTCTCTCCATCTCCTTCCCTATCACGTTCGCGAGAGACAAAGCCATGAGAACAATTAGACTATATCATCACCGATGACGATGATGGTCGTCTTTGTGTGAAATGGATTCCTCCGGCTGAAACCTGCATTTATATATAGCTCATGCCCTCTGTTGGTGGGAAAGAGGCTAAAAGAGAAAGAAAAAGTGCACAGTCACGTGGTCAGTATTTCAAAGAAAGTGATATGGCCATTGCTATCGTCCACTGGTGTTTGACTTGATGGGACGGATTAAGTCCATGTGCGGATAATTATCAATCCAAATTAACACAATAATTCATGTTATAATGCACGAGCATGGATAGGGGACTTAACGGATTTGTGGAGGCGATTTATAAACGGGTCATTTTCGAATATCCATCAAGTCGAGTTATATTTCAACACTACCCGATGCACAATTAAAGGAATCAAGTTTCCAATATATTCACCGTTAATTGTTTTTTTAGAGTATGCTTAACCTTTTGCTACGCATTCATTAGTTTCAGTATTACCAAATATCGTGTCGAATAAGTTTTTTGTTAATCATAGATGAAAAGAAGTATTGCATTTTTTCTCTCGCTTTTTTGCGCGTGCTATGTCCAATTGTCCATCACTTTTGACAAGATAATTTATTTTATACTTCTCTTGATTCTATTCTTTGTCAATGGCGAGTTTCCCCCCTACCCATTCACACGCTCTTTCCCCTACTCTATCCATGAAATCACGAATACATGCTTTATTCATTAAAACCAGCATAATAGCATGTCGCTTACTGTTAATATAAATTCTTTAATTCGATCATAGGATGGAAATTGATATAAAGTATTGTAAATTAAGTTTAGGGGTGAGCTTATCGTAAGCAAGAAAATAATGATGGATGACGCAAGCGGGGCAACGTCGGAAAAGGAAAGTCATCAACTGAAGAGGAGTCAACGTCACTCGTAAGCCGTCAACTTGGAAAAAAATTTCCCCGTTGGAACCCTAATTTACAAGTGGCCCTGTCGATTCATATCTTCTTTTTTTCACTTTGTTTGTCGTTCCAATTCAGGAAAATCAACAGCGTCTATCCGAGTGCCGTCTAGACCAGGGCAACATTTTTGAACTTTTTTTAGACACTGTTGGCCACGGACAATGACTTAAGCTGAGCCCTCCGTTCGTGAATTTTCAATGCATACACACGCTTATACACTCATCATGCAGATAAAATTTGTTGATTGCTTCTATTTGCTGTCGAATTCCTTGGTCAGTGGCTTTTCAGTCGAAGGAAATGCGTGTCAGCCCATTAAATCTCTACTGACCTCCGGTCAGACTCCAACTGGGTGGTTCAAACTTTTATCTTTACTAATATGGGAAATCGAACCTGAATCGCACATATAATCAATATCCACCGTGTCGACTCTTTAACCTATAAGATATAGAGTCTTGGCTCTTAACCCAAATCCTGACTTTCTTATCGCTCTTAGACAAGAAGCTCGACTACATAGTTTAGCCCAGCTCGGGTGGGCAAAATTAAGTCATTGTTTGTTTCTGTGTAGAGTGTTTTGATTTGATTAGCAAAGCCTTGAACAGTCATTCTACTATACGCAATAATCGTAGTGGAGAATGTACCACTCCTTTGTGCTCATCAATATCAATTAGTCATTATCCACCTAAATCAAATCCGTTGTTGAGGTTGTCTCACATCAGTCGTGAAAGGGGCTGGTGATCAGTTTATAAGTATAAGGAAAAGTTTCACCCTTTGAGCTAAGCTAGTTTTTGAGGTAAGAGAGGTTCAAGACCACTCAACACTGATATCATAGCTCAGATTGCCAATAAGTCTAGACCTAATAGTCACACGGGAGAGTTACAAGTTGTCGCGACTCTAACCTAAGCTTAATGTGTGATGAGGATATTTTGAGATTATGGGCTAGTGGTTACTTTATAAGTGTGATAGAAAATTTTGGATGTGATTCTAGTCGTCTTTAAGACACTATCTGTCGATATCGAGCCATGACCGGTTGATCATATACTTGCCTCCGTCAATAGGATTGGTAGGACTTATCATGCAACCTCAAGCTCTTCCCACCAATAGACCGAGAGAGACCGCCTAAATCCGGCGGGCGCCGTCCGATTCGATTCGTTCCCTTTTTAAAATGCTTGGAAATTTCTCAGCTGGCACCTGAGGCCAAGACAGAGGAGGGCGACGCGAACTTGCGGTTACTATGTTTGCCTTCTTTCGTTGTCTTCCAAGGTTCCAGTGGGAACAGATGACACTGTAGATATTGCGGCTTTCCACATTCAGACACGCGTAAATACGACAGCAAATCAAAAAGGGATCAGATTTGACTGTCGACCCTAATAGTATAAATGACCCTTGACCCAAAGCACGTCAACCAATAGTGACTTGGTGATCGAAGCTTGACAAGTTGTTGTCACATGGACTTTTCCTTGGACACTGAGCTTCCTGGAAGGAGGGGAGGGGGTTTTTGTTGCTCCTGCAAGCAAAGTGAAGATGCCCCCATGTCCACCGTCCAAAGGCAAACTGTTGAAGGGGCTGCTCTTCTTTTTTCACCAGAAAAATTTGAGTGGCTTGTGAAATAAATTGGGAAAAAAAAGCTGGACCCTAAAGTTGTTCAGATAAGCCTCCAGAGATTGAATGAATGATTAGACGGTTGATTATGATCAGCAAATCTCTTGTGTGGACAAGGCTTTCCGATTGATTATAAGCGAGTTTTGAATTGAGTATGTAGCTCCTAACGGTAGAAATGATGGAAGAATTATAATCGAGTGAGCCTCGATAAATCATATCCATTCTACCTTGAACCGGATTAATCGAGCCAGCTGGTTCTCCGATTGAACACTTGTACTATGAATCTAGAATTGTGTCCCATAGTATTATCTACTTCTAATTGGTTAAACCAAAGCCTCTTTTCCTAGTAACCAGTTATTACTTGAAACCTAGTATATGTACACCATTAATAATGTAATACTTCATGCGGGGTCTCACATGAGTTTCACCGGTTAATCTTTATTTTAGTACGTTTACTATGTTTGTGTAATAATTCTGCCTCCTTTCCATCATAGGAACCGGGTCCATGTTTCTAATGATGTCGTGCGTAGATTAGGCAAATGCACGGGCCATGTCTGATTCCCCATGCCGCCGAGTACAAACAATTTCATGTTTGAGCCACCGCCTTAAAAGTCTTAGCTCTAATCTTGGTTTATCGGTTTTGTGATATGTTTCACTCGTCTAAACTTTACCTATTTAAGGTGCGCTTTCTTGTCACCGAAAAACGGGATTCATGGGTTGACCGAGAATTTCTTAGGGTTTGGTCTTGAAATGATAGAGTTTATTGATTCAATTTGAAAACTCGCCCCTAAGTGTTGGGACCTTGGCATAGTTTCCTTCACATTTCATAGAGTCACTCAAGTTCTAGTCTAAATATAGAAGTGAATTTGGATTTGGTATAGGATTAGATCTCCCAGAAATGCACGTCGTGCGACCATTCATGTTATATAGTTTCCTTTCTTTCTCCTTACCCATCACAGCCCCAAACTGGGGTTGTTTGCAGGTCGATGAGAAGTTCACATGTGAACTCATATGTTCTTGACTTTTTTGTTCTAATGTTCTTATTATCTTATCTTCCTCATATTTTCTCAGTGCGTGCCCAGAACTTGGGTTCGAATCGGATAAAAACGTTCAAAAGAGGGTTTAGTCCTATCCTTGTGAAAGCTTCTTTTGGAGATGGGAAGAATGGACAAAAGGTGGAGGCCAAACGTAGCGTTTTTTCTTCCACTAATTTGCTGGACTACATGCTTTATCCACCTTTAACGGAAAAAATCTTTTACCCCGATGGTGCCGGTGCGTTGACATCAGCATGCACTAGTGGATAGGGGGTAGAAAAGTTGGGGGAAGGAAGTTTCTCCGTGGTCTATAGGGGAGGGAAGGATCGAAGCCGATTGCAATCAAGTCTTTTCGGTCAGGAGCGCCTGCCGAAGCCATGGCGCGTTGAATTTCACGCGTTAGTAATTTGAAAGTCAGAAGTTTGCATCTAGCAAAGTAACATGTGGATACACCAAATCTGATTCAAATTCTCCGAACCAGAGCACATAATGAAGAAAACAACACAAGCATGGTTTTTACATCTGTTTAGAAGCTTGATATTTATTGAGTAACGAAGGGTAGAGACCTCGTCCAGGACAATCCGGGTCATTTCATCAATGTCGAAAGGTTTCTTCTTTAGGTCTACGAAGCCTGTGTTCTGACGTGCAAAAGCCCTTGCCTGAAACAAAAACAAAGCTGAAATCAGATAGGACATGCTAATTGGGTAAACTAAGAATGAATTAACATGGATTAACATTGTCACATTGAATAAAGAAGGAAACTCAGTGACGATGCCATGTGCAAAAATAAAGGTGCATCCACAAATGCTTATTCATGAATACGGACCTCGGCATGCACATCCACACGGTACATGAGCAGATGAACACATGCACACACAACCGCACATGAAGGTCCACTCCTACCCACCCACACAACAGCAAACACACCCACACACATTATCCAAGCCGTGTCAAATACACATTATTTAATTGTTACAAGTGTTAACTTACAAACAGAAATAGATGCACCTTGCAACAGTAAGATAAATTAACCAGGAAAGGTACCTGGGACTATCCACTATAACATATCTTGTTATTTAAAGAAGTAGTTGCCATTCAAGTGTTTTTCCCGCGAACATTGGGATGATCTCGCCAAATGCAAAGGAGAAAGATTCTGGGACAACCCATGGATTCTTTTTTAAAGTAATCTTCGATTTGTTCCTCGGAAGCCCATAGAAATCTGGTCCGTTAAAGCTAGTAAAGGCTTCTAGCTTGTCAAGTGCCCCTGCCTATCAATACGGAACTGCTATCAGCCATATACTTATTCGCATATGTTACCATTTAGGTAGCAAAAACCAATGCCAAATAATTTGATCACAAAGATTAATGATGTGTCCATCAACAAGACAGAGAATGTATGGACCTAAACACAAGTTGACCAAATCCATATGAATTTCAGCACCAGACTATCGAATTTAAGGGTAACATGCATCTTTTAATCCTCAATACCTACTAGGAGAAAATTGATTCGAGTAGAGAACAGCTTCAATATAATACTGCTAACATATGGACCAGATAAGAGAAGGCTTTCTTTCAATGGCCAGATCCAGTGAAATGACACACCAACATAATATTAAAACACTAGCTCAGGCTAAGCTTGCCAACTGAGATTCAAAAGGTTAACATATAATTAGTGATTTTATGAATCAGTTGTTAGGTAAGTATAAAATGAGGTAATTAGGGTTTTCTCTCAATGCTCTATAAATAGAGCTCTTATGCGATAGATCATCAAGTCTTTGAGTAAATATATAGTCATTGTGTCCTTCCTCTCTTCTTCTATCTTCAGATTCTAATACTTTTACAGAAGAAATAACTATTCCTGCAAGCTACAAGGACAAGCCAGGACTTCAACTAGGAAGTGCATATGGCTGTGCTACAGAAAAGTTCCAGACATGAACACAATGCAAACATTCTCAGTTACACTGCTTATGTTTTTTCTCCTACTTTCTTCAATCGAATAACTACTCTTAAATTATATGGCATTGGAGAATAGGTGCATGTAGCGTTGCTGATTTTAGTGTATCTAACCTGACCTGAGACCTTCGACTGATAGAAGTACAATATAAGTATTAAATCTGATTAATGTAGCAGTTGGAATTATAGAGATCTTTAATTTTCAGCAACCAAATTATTTTTGATAAACAAGCTTGAAGACTTTCACATGTCAACAGCAAAATTTACTATGACATCCTTCAAGGAGTTTATATTCAAGAATGATATGAAATCTCACAAACAAATCAAAAGGCTGAGATGTATCAAACTGATACCAGCTAGAAGCAAAAAATTTCACATTAGACAATATCCTAGCTTTACAAATCATCATACAAAAGGAGCAAGACCAAATCCTCTTCTTCTTTTTTCCGTCATAGGCTGTAATATGACTGAAAGAAAATTATGAGAGGTCAAATATCAATAAGGATATTCTTAGCAGCATCCACATCACAAACGAAACATCATTCTAAGGGCACGCAAAGCACATGAGTACTCCGATCAACATTAGAAAGATGGGAAAGTACCTCTTCAAAGACCTTAGCATAAAGCGACAAAGCAACTGGAGCATTGTAGATACCAGCACATCCACAAGGACACTCCTTCCTTCGTTTCTCGTGGGGAGCACTATCAGTTCCTAGGAAGAATTTTTTACTTCCACTAGTCACAGCTGCCACGATAGCCTGTCCTAGATGGAATCAAACATAACCAAGTGAATCTCAAGAAAATAAGTTTTCTAAATATAAAATTTGGGAAAACAAATAAGCTTAAGCACACTGCTCTGCAAAAGCTCATGCCAGTATCGATCAGAACGAAGAACTACACATGATTTGGGGATTTTGAGCATGATCTGTAATTGATGCAAATTCAGGAAGGGAAGATCGCTCAGCAATTAATATACTTCAATAGGCCTATCAGACTTTGAATTTCAAACCAGCGTGTAGCCCATCATTAAATGTCAAGGCTACTTAAGATTGCTAAGCAAGACCAAAAGGTAAGAGATCGGTGAAGTTATATGGTAGCAGCAGCAGCATATAAAAATATTCACTTACTGTGCGTCTCTCTTTTTAGTACAGGAAGGCAGTAATTATGTGGCTGCAATCCTCCCTGGAATATAGAGTTCCTATTCAAGAGAAGATGCTGTGGAGTAACTGTAGCCGCTATAAATCCTGAAAAATTATACAGATTCAGATTTCACTCTCTTATTCTTCAGTTCTTTATATTTTTTTGTCAGGAGAGGGCTGGGGGTAAAGTAAAAGGTTGCTGTTTTGAACATCAGCCTCCAAGTGGGAGATTATTCAAGTCTGATAAAGGAAAGTAATATTAAAGCAGTGAGCCTTTTAATGCTGATGGCATATATGTGATCTTCACGTTAAAGCAAAGAAAAAAATACCACTGCTAACGGCATACATGTAATTTCCATTATAACTCTGTATGCCCTAGACTCCTACTATATATTGGAGCAATCTCTTTCATAGTCGTAACTTGTAATTTATACTAATACTGATAGTGAAGAGATTGCCTAGTATGTAACCTGCCATAAATTGGCATTGTACCTTCTTTGCTAGACTCAACAAATCTAACAGCATCAGATGTTGTGATGTGCTCCATCACGATCTTCAGCTGTGGAAGTTTGTGGATTAAAGGCTGCAAAACAGTTTCAATAAAGACCTTTTCCCGATCAAAAATGTCCACAGCAGCATCTGTAACCTCCCCATGGACCTGCAAGTAGCATCCAAAGCATTTCTAAGCGAGAATGGCAACTTGTCTAGTCAATGTACCACCATAATGAAAGGTGTAAAAAGGCATATTGTATAACGACTTACTAAAAACATGGATAGAAAAGGCGCCCATTAATTTAACAATCCCTACAGCATTTTCATCCAAGAAGCAGCATAAACCTTAACAAAGAAAGGACCTTTGGATACAAATGACCAATACATAAAACTACCAAACCGTATAATATTATGTCAGATTTCACCTAATCTCACATTAGCTCTCACTGTTCCTCTTCCAAAGACATGATAAAATGTTTAGTTCTCTTAAAACTTGATCATTCTCCAGTTTAATTTGCAGCAGGCATACCACACTACAATCCATTATGTGTAACAAGCCCGAAATCTTGATGAGAAAGTCACGGCAATAGAGCTAACAACCATTGATTTTGAATAAACAAGTTACCAGCAAAGGTATGTCTTGCTTGACCATTTCCTCAAGGACAGGAAGGCACTTTCCTAGAAGATCGGTAACACCATCCTGAGAATTTGTAGTAGCACCAGCTGGGTACAGCTTTACTGCAAACACAGCACCACTCTGTCCTGCTTATGCAATTAGTATCATCACTGCCTATGGAATAACACTAAAGAATAACAAATTTAACTCCAAAAAAAAGAAAAGAGAGAGAAGAAGCAAATGACACTCTTTTATCTTCTGTAAAATTATATTCTGAACTCTGAACGTCAATGAAACTGCTAGCAAAGAGATATTGCAGAAAGGAATCCTCTCAATCGTGAAAAAGATGGAAGAGAAAAGGATAGGAGCTATCAAAAGGACAAAACCGTCAGAAAAAAATTATTTATGCTTGGCAAACCAAATAACTCAATTCCATTAAGTTGCCAACCAAGACAAGCTCAACAAGTACCAAAAATCAACTTTCACGAGTGCACTCTACCTGTATTGCATTATAGAAATCTATCAGCCTCTGACTAATTTGCCTTTTTATCATCTTACTAATTAAAAGCAGGCAAATAGTTTCTTCATCAAAATTGTACAAACTTACATTAGGAAAAAAAAATTTCAACAAGCAAATTAATAAAAAAAAAAATTGATTACTTGATCATGCTCAACTTGAATCATAATCCAGTGTCATGAGAAACTCAAATAACAAAGACCAAACAGGGTTAACTACAATGGTCATGAGCATGACATCCTCAATAAACTTCAAATCTCTTAGATAGTAGAGCAGAGAAAACTTCAAGTCAAATAGTGTACATATATAGCTTCAATTAGAAATGAGGAGCTGCTCTGAATCTGGATGCAATGTGTAACTTACGGGCTAGTTTGATCTCATCAGGTTTTGTGGAATCCGTCAAGTAAAGTGTCATGAGAGGGGTAAAGTTGCTGCTGGCTGGCAATGCTCTCGTGATGGATTCCCGATAGGCCACTGCAGCAGATGTGGTAGTGACAGGAGGCCTCAAATTTGGCATCACTATAGCCCTTCCAAAATGACTCGCACTGGAGACATAGAAAATTCCAGACACAAGAAGGTGACATCAGGCAGCTAGCTCAAAAGATCCGGGGACACCTCCCATCGTGCAATACTTTTTTATTGACTGGAGAACATATGCATACGATTTTTGCTAATCCACCAAAGAAATATAGCTAAAAATAGATGACCTGTGAGGGAGAACAGCATCAAGAAGACTCCCATCACGAAGGTGAAGGTGCCAATCATCAGGCTGCGTTAGAGTCAACTCCATCTTGGTTCCTTTTGATTTTGACAGATAATGCCCTTCAATTTTAGCCGAATTGAACTTCAGCACCTATGATGCATGTGAATATCTTCATAAATTCAGGACAACCTAAAAAGAAATAAATGTGTAGGTCCGTAAGGAAGCTTGAAATAGCAGAATTAGCAGTGAGGTTCAAAATGAACTAGAATTAAAGTTTGAAGTCAATTCTAATGCCATGAAATGCTTATAAGTTACAATAAAAGAAAAAATTCTTATACCATAAAATTCAGAAATCCGATGAATGACCTCTAAAGCATGTACTCAATACACTTCGCATGACATTTTACTGATCCAGTTGATCACTCTAACATGTAGCCATTTACACGTATAACTTCCATCATTAAGTAGCTATCGCCCAACAAAATATCATCAAGTAGCTTCAAAATTAAAAAGCCATCTATTCAGAATGAAAGCAACAAAGAAATTTCAAGCTCATCAATTGTAGTCAGGCAATAGTGGGTGGAAGAACACACATTCAACTGCATTTAGCTCAATGAAATACTCAGCTGTAGTATCAAATCGAAGCTAAATAGCATTTGAACCTAACGTCGAGGTAAAGGTGAAGAAAACCGTCATGTGAACAAGTCAACAAGCAAGTATAAACTTTGGACTCTGGATTCAAGAAATGGAAATTAAGCATATTATCAAGGATAATGTCGCCAGTGATCCCTGTACACTGGCAGGGTATTCAAAATCACCCCTCTACTTTTTCTTTGTTCAAAATAGTCCTACTTTTTAAAATGGTTCAGCGTTCATCCCAGAACTGTTCCGCTGACGGTCACAAAAAAAGTACCTATTATGAACAAATAAATGGAAGGACTATTGGTCAACCATTTTTAAAAGTACAAGGACATTTTCGGAAAAAAAAAAGTAGGAGGACGACTTTGAATTTTGAGCAAAAGGACGGGGATTAATGCCATCAAGAGAGAATTGGCAACTTAGAATAAATCCTCTGTATTCACTGAAGTACATTCCTAACAGCAATCACGGTATTTTGCATAAAGACCATACAAAGAACGAAGTATGTTCTACAGGGGAGGAGTTGTGCCTACATAGCATGGTAGGTACAGTGTCTTTATCATTCCAACGCTGCCGAACTATAGCCTCTTCAGAATTTGAGACGTTAGGAAAGCTCCAACCGAAATTCCTAGAAACAAGAAATATGTATATTAGGGTGCAAACCAGACTACCGCATCGAAAGCAAACTGAATCTCGCAGAACAGCACAAACCCACATCAAAAGCTATACATTAAACAGACCCACGCATGGAAATAGCATAAGTCGCTTGCAATGCCCTTCTTAGGCAGAACCCACATTCACAACCTTTCTCAGCGGAATAATTTCAAGCACGTGGCGTGCAACTGCACAAGTGCACGTACCGAGTGAACAAAGATAGCCCAGTCGCGCAACCAACAGCATCATAGCGCAACGTATCATATGCCCATTTCCCCCACTCGCGCAAGCACGCAAAAGAACAGGGCAAGAGGAGGACCCAAAAGAGAAAAACGAGGCAGTGGAACGAGCGAAGTCCGAGTCGAGACTCACACTCTTGCTTCAACCGAACGCCTCAGTTGCGTTCGGATTCGCACAGGAGAAGGCGCACGCGAGCCCAGCTGAAAGCGAACGGAAGAGCCACTGGTGATGGGAATCAAATTCTGCGGATCCTCAGCTCACCCTCCAGTCGACATCGGCGGTTGATATACTTAGGACGTAAGCGGTTTCAAGTTGTTTCACCTTAAACCTGGAATCCGAGGATTTCTCATTTTTGGAACCTGTAACTGCTCATAGAAATCTAGAACTTGGAATCCGGATAGGTTTCAGGATCTAACAGATTTTTTTTTAAAATTTCATTTTTAGTTAAACAAAACAAAAATGAACGCAAAAATACTGAACAAGCTTATCATTCATCAAAGAAAATATAAAATACTAGTTTTTCTGGCATTACGATTTAAATAAATATAATTAAAATGAAAAGGTATTGCGTTAATCAATATTAAGGATGAGCGATTCCATATTCCACCCATGAGAATAGATTCCTCATATTTTGGAATCTGGAACCTACCCTATCACAGGTTCTAGGATCGGTTCCAAGGTCTATCCAAATTTCACATGTATTATTAATTGAACAATTACAGTAAATCATCACATTTAATGACCACCATTTACTACTATGATTCACTGACCACAACTCATATTTAGATGCACGAAAAATATGAAACATTAACAAGTCATAAAATGAAAGCTCAAATTAGTAGTTCTAGATTATATACTCATCATCTAATGCCATAAAACACCGCAGGATTACACGAAGACATAAATCAAGAAAAAACACAAAAAACTTATTCAGATTCCAGGTTCCACTTACCTAGAACCTAGAACCTAGGCCGCATACTATGGAACCTAGAACTTATAAGTTTCTATTGGTCAGATTCTCAAGTTTCAGGGTCTATCCTGAAATCATGCTCACCTCTAAATATATCCACGTTGTTCGAGGAAACGGATGCCGGCGGAGTGAAAGGATCGTCAGCAGAGGCGTTCTTGTGCATGATGATGATACGTGTGGATGGCGAGCATATTTCAAGGGTATGGTGAAATCCAACAAGGAATTAATAACGAGATGGGATTAGACAATCCAATTCAAAATATTATTTTTGAAAAATATTCAAATTCGATTATGTGAATCTATCCATTTGACAGGGAGCATTTTCTTTATTATATATAATATCTATACTGTATGAAAGAAAAACTTGCGGTTATTTTTTTATTTCCCAAAGACCTCTTTACTTAAGTTTCTATAGGGATAAGCATTTTTTCTGCTACTCGGTCCAATTCGTGAAATATTCCACCTGTTTTAATGACGAGCACCCAATATTTGGGAGATTAGTTACCTGATATCCATACGTGTTTCTATAGGTTTTACTGTAATTGATTTGTCTGGAGACATATGTTATCTTTATTTTTCCACCATGGCGCACATTTCTTGTCATTGCTCGTAGCCCTCCTTCTTCTATTTGTCTAGATGTGATCCGAGCGCTTCAAGCTCAGAGGGCAATGCTCTATTTGAAGATGTATGGATTGCTTGGATTCGGCTAGAGAGACGAAACACGGGGCAGCGTTGATAACCTCGATCCTGTCGACACTCTACAAAATCTTAACACAACATAACCTCATCTGTTATCCTCATACTCTGTTTTATCAGTTAAAAAGTGAACTTTTACCAATGAATAAACATGCTTTACTATAATTTGAACTTGTTTTTCCACCTATCTTTGTAATTATTTCAGGTTTCAGGAGTTCGAAAACAAAAATTATCTAGGATTTCACAGTTATTCCAATAATAAAGTAACAATAAATCATTGTTTTTTTTTTAAGATTTTGGTGCGTTCAACTCTGCTTTTGTTCCAATATCAGCTCGATGGGAATTCATTGTTGTAATAACAAAGAAAGAAGATCGAAACTTGCTGTTATCGCTTGGAAACTTTAGGTCCTTTCAGAGTCTAGATTCTAGCTATTTTTATGTAAAGAGCAGACAGTTGCATGTTTTGAGTTTCTACGGACCTTACACTGCAGAAGAACCCTAAGGACCTTACAACCTGAACCATAAGCATGAAAACTAGTCGGGTCCATATAGCTGCGGAGGCAAAGCCTCTGAATAGAAGTGATTAGTACTTCAAACCTCTTTCAAAATCTCAAAATGGCTCGTCTCATCATCTTGCAAGATAGGGCCACAAATAAGACGGCCATGGCCAACTCGATGATATGCTCGAACTCGAGAGACTTGCAACACGTTTTTTTGTGCGTGTTCTAAGGTCCATATTTCACGGGAAGCACAGGGCTTCAAAACAGTCTGATGGTGGACTGATGAAGCTGCAAGTGATTCTCTTGTCAAATTCCCTCCTTTTCCTGTTGATTGACCTTTGTTGATGTTTTCTTGTAGTGTTCTGTGTTCCTTTTGATTATTATCAGGAAGATGGTCAGAAAAATCTCATGTTTTTGTCTATGATGTCATCCTGTTTGGATTAATAACCAAGAGAGTGTATACAGAGGACGACAGAATAAACATTGGGCCTTTCATTTGTGAACGGGCTAAGAGGTGAGTATAAAATCAAGGAAGCAGAGCAGATCTGAAAGGCCCAGGTTTTCACCAGTGCACCGCATACTTGAGATCGAACCTTATTTCAGACATTATGATGGAATCAGAAAGCCCAAGGCAATCTCCCTTGAACTTTCAGCTTTGCCAAGACCAACATTTGGCCAAAGGAGTCTCAAAAAAATTTGTCAAATTACCCCAAATTTTACCTAAGGGGCTTTGGAGGCCTTTTAGAAAAGCTGAACCAAACACAGCCTTACTAAGTTAGCAATACAATGTTTGGATGCGGATCCGAAGGCGCCCCAAGGTGAAACGATCAATTAAAATTACTGATGAATCTCTACAAATTGAAAATTGCCTGAGGAAGGAAGAATTCTACTTTCTAAGGATGTGGAACAAGAAATACAAGATATAATCTAAAGATGTTGGATTGATACAACCTATAAATGGATCCACTTAATATCTTATGCTTATGGCAAATCACTTGATAAAGAGTGTTAATTATTTATCTAAATCTTCGAGTTTCATTACATTAAACACTGAGATTAGGTTTAGAAATAACAGAGACATTGTCAGTTGGGCGACATCCGACATCAACTTAATACAATTTTATATCTTCGATCCATGAAAATAAGCTTAATTAACTAAAAGTTCTCTTTGTACAATTTAAGGCAGGAAATTACTAAAAAAGTCATAAATCTATTGCAATTATGCTAATTTAGTTCTAAACTTTTTTTTTCTAACTGAGTCCTAAACATTTTGCATTTATACCAATTTAGTCCATTCAGTCAATTTTGGTCAATCGGCGCTAAGGTGGCACGACCGGCGCTAACGTGGCACGACCAATGCTAACGTGACACGGCAGGCGCCGACGTGGACAATTTTTAATAATATTTTTATTTTTTTTCTTTTCTTTCTTTTTTTATCTTCCTTCTTCCTCTTGTCGGCGAGGTCAACCCCACCGTCTTTGGGTGAGGGCAAGCTCACCTAGCCACTGATGAGGTCGACCTCACCGGCCCTCACCTATGGCTGGTTGCCTTGGTCTGGTAACTAGCCAAAGGAAGAAGGAAGAAAAAAACAAAAGGAAAGGAAAAAAGAAAATATAATTAAAAATTTGAAAAAATATTAAAATATTATTTAAAATTGTCCACGTCGGCGTTGGCCGCACCACATCACCACCGATCGTGCCACGTCAGCAATGGCCGGCCAAAATTGACCGGATGGATCAAATTAACACAAATACAAAAGATTTATGACTCAATTAGTGAAAAATAAAGGTTTATAATTGAATTTGCACCATTGCAATAGATTTAGGACTTTTTCTTATAATCCTCCCAATTTTTATCATGATTTTTACTTACAGAAGACCTTGTTAGCTCTGATTTATCATTCGACCGGAGTCTCTACATCTATTCATTCAATTATCGAAGAAAAGTAACTGCCTCCCCAATTTGCGGCAACCTCATCGTCTGCACAAAATCACCCCAAATCCAACTCATCTTGGCTTAAGACAAGAGGTGGTTAACAAAGTTCCTGCACTTCGGATTCGACGCCCACGTAAGCCTGGAAATGAACAGACCTTTTCTTTTTTATCACGTAGAAAAGCACAAGCATTTCAGCCCAAACCTTTTTCTATCTCGTAAAAAAGCACCAACTTGCAATCGATTCCAAATCCAGTCCGTTTTCACATTTCTGTCCATTAGTGCTGTTAAAGATGCGATGTGTTATTTCATGTGTATTTAGTGACTCATGTCTATGTTGACTTAGAAGGATCACACGTAATCTGAAAGCTTCCCCCTTTCTCGGACGCTATCGATTGTGAGTTCAAGGTTCCAATGCATGCAAGGATGAAACAATTAGTTTAATATGAAAAGCTTCCACATACAAACTTTAGGGGGATCCTACACCTTTTTTTTTTTGAAAAATTCAACTAAAATTTTATTTTTCATGAAGTTGCATATAAATTAAATGCCAATGTCGATATTGTTAACTCGTTCTATTCCAATAATGGGAGTTAGAACTGATGAACCAAACACATGATAAACTCACTCGACATATACAATTTTTGGTTTGGAACTCTATTGGTGGCTTTTAAGTCCGCCGTCAAACGCTAGGGCTCAACATTGGACGGGCGGTGGAAACTACCAAGCTGGAGTATGGCCGGGGAAGAGGGAATTTTCGGAGGAGTAGTGAAAGGAGTAGAGATCGGAAATTAAGAATACCAACGGCGAAAGCATGCCAGGCCGACATTGACACCGAGAGACGAAAGCTAGGGGGCGAATGGGATTCCTTACACTAACCTGCACGCTATGAAACTTGTCTATTTCGAACGATATGGGAATGTCCTCCTAGGAAAAGCGTTAAAAGCCTCAATTTGCGGCTTGTTGTGGCCTAGTCACGAGCACTTGTCTCTGTGCTAAGGTCTTGCTTGCGCAATTGGCGAGGATGTCGAGGGTGTCCCTTAGTGCATGTTCTTTCCTTAGCTTTCACCAATACCCACGACGAAACTTCACGTGAAACCTAACCTTGAATTAACATTTAATTAGAGCAGCGTAATTAGTCATTCTTGGCAACATAATTACGTGAAGAGGCCGGTATTTTTGTGCTCGTAATTCTTCGATGCGAGGGAAAAAAAATTAATGTAGGAGAAAATTACTGAAATTCCCGGGTCAGTTAATTCCGAATTTGGCAGTAATTAAATTTGAGAATTATGCCAATAATGACGATCTGTATTGCAATCTAACCCTTTTAAAATTTTCGAATGTGCTTTAATTTTAATTAGGACGAAAACTAATATTTGTTTAGCAAAGGGACTGAATTTTCCGCATCGAAAATAATTCGCAGAGCTTCTTTTGTGATGTTTCACAGTTTAGGCTCTAAATTTAACTTCATACTTGAAGAGTTTTTCTTCTTCTTTTGAGTAATCTATTGGGGGCTCTAAGAAAAAGTCATTTGTTAATCAAGAACATGAAATAACAACGTTCATATAAACGAAAACCCTTAAGACTTTAGACCCCTAATTCTAGCTAAACAGCCCAAAAGAATAAATTAAACCGAGCCAAACCACGCCAAATTTAACTTCAATTAGCTACCAATAAGCAAACTAACTCCAAGAGCGATCATAAGACCGACGCCACCCGCCCAAGGAAGCCCCACTTTCGAAGCCGAGGAATGCGACGGGGCCGGCACGGGAGCCTCCGCATCCGACGGGCCCGCACCGGCCGGATGCGGCGGCGTTCCCGCCGGGGCATCTGACCGAGGAGTCGGCGAAGCCGGAGGTCGGGCCACGGGAGGCACCGGGGACGGGGTTGGGGCGCCGCTGTGAGTCTTGTCCCGGACGGCCAGGACGACCACGATGAGCCTCTGGCCGGCATTGCACCTGTCGGCGATGCCACTGATGAAGAAGAAGGGGCCGGAGCGGTCGAACCTGAACCTGGAGCCGCCGTCGGTGAGGGAGACGAGAGGATTGCTGGTGTCGCAGGAATTGTAGGCGTCCTTGGTCACCAGCAGGACGGAGTCGTTCCCTTTTTCGTACTTGAAAACTACAAAAACAAGCAGACAAACATCATCTAAATTCAAGAAAACGTATGACATTACATGTAGCCCTTAACATAGAGAGAGAAAGTGAGAGATTACAGAGAGTGTCGTTGACTTGGAACCGGTTCCTCTCAGCCCAGTGATTGTATCCCTCGGAAGGGTTTTGCACCCAGCCATCTTTGCCACCCACATGGAACAGCCAGGCTTCAGAACAAGTTGCGAACCACAGCATCACCGCCGCGAACAACAACGCGACTAATCTTGCAGACTCCATTACAGACTGGTGATCAAAGCTAGCTCACACACACACACAGAAAGAGAGAGAGAGAGAGAGAGAGAGAGAGAGAGAGTATGAACAAGTTGGTGACTGGTGAAGATGGGGTATGGCAGGAGAAGGAGATGCACACATGTATATATAGAGAGAGAGCGCTGAGAGAGGAGGAGGATTCATACCATCTTTCGTGAGGTTACCGTTGAGAGCGAAAGGCATGCAAGAAAAATGCGAAGATAATGCCGTGGAGAGAAGAGGAGGAGGATCCTCGTTTGGTAGACCTTTGGCCTCTACTCGCCTTATTAACTATAGCATGCGTTATCTCTTCTTCTCCTTTAATTTTTTTTTGTCCCCTCCCCCCCTAATTATTTCGACGCTTTGACCACAAAAAAAATTATTTATTTCGACACGTGGGCGCTCGCCAATGACTCAACGGCCACCCCACAAAAAGTTCATTGTTTTTTTGAAAAAAAAAACACTAATGAAATCGCATTATTAGGGTTTTCATTATAGCCTTTGTTCTCCGGACCTTTTTTGACTCAATAAATTAAAGAAATTCATTGCACCCACATTCTCAATTTTTTCCAACCAGCCGTTTCGGGAACCCTTCAACGGTACAATCGAAATCGAGGAATTTTAATGTTGTCATTAACATTATCGAAGGGTGGTACTAAATTCCCTAAACGTAACTAAAGCCGGGGGTCACATCTTCTCGATGAACTAGGCGAAGCTAAGTGTTTCATGGCAATTGCGTGAGGTGTTTGAAAGGCTTGGAAGGAAAGCTTCCCAACACACTCCCACCTTCTTTCCAGTCATACCCTAGGGTGGTGTTAAAGAGTGATGTGGGTGAAACACTATTGTTTAATCCAATTTATGTAGTCATTTGATCATGATTATCGTGCCACGGTGGTGGTGCAATTGGCAAATTCATGTACATCAACTACTAAGATGCCCGTGCATGGAAAACGGGTTCAAGACTATATACACACACACCTCAAGTTGATTATTGGATATGCTAAATGTTGAACGGTATTTTGTCTCGATCACTTTACAAAGTTCATCGTAATTGCTTATAATTTTTCTATCAATTAGGCCAAACAAATACCCATTTATCTGATATTTCTTGACAAAGCAACACCTTAATGGTGCGAAGTCTTAGTTAGAATTACCAAATGTAGCTAAGCTGATTAGATAACAATCCAATGTTTATTTATCTCATCTTTCTTGTCGAAATAACACCTAGGTACATATTTATCTTTTATATAACTTTTTTGAAATCACTAATAATATAAGATTATTTTTAAAGTATGTGCCATTGATTCTTTGTGATTACGAATAGCTCTTGTATTGGGAAAATTACCAAAAAAATATTAAATTTACTGCACTTATGCCAATTTAGTTTTTAATCTTTTGACAATTTACCAATATAGTTTATCTGATCAATTTTGGCCAGAAATCACTGATGTGGATGCCGGCCGTCTTACGCACCGACACTAACATTAACAATTTTTACAATTTTTTTAAAAAGTATTGAAATTTAATTTTTTTTTTCTTTTTTTCTTTTCTTTTTTCTTTTTTTTTCCTTTATTGCAGTGCGGCAACCCTCGCCAAAGAAAGGCCCGCCTAGTCGCCTTTGGCCAATGAGGGCGATCCTCGCTCGATTTGGCCACGCCACATGAGACAACTGACGCTGATTAAACCGCCATGTCAAGGCTTTCATATCAAAATTGGCCAGAATAACTATATTGGCAAATTATCAAAAGGTTTATGATTGAATTGACATAATTGAAAAGGTTTAGGATTACATTGGCACAAGTGCAATAGGTATAAGACTTTATTAGTAATTTTCCCCTCTTGTATTCATACTTTATTATTAACTATTCGTGAAGTATAATTTATTGTGAAAATTTCTTCGAGACTTATTGAATTCGATATAATATTGAAACTCCTTCAAAACTTTACTCAAAAACTTACTGTAATGCTGAATTCAATGTTTAATCTCACCAATTATATAAAGTGCTAGGAATTATCTTTGTAAAACCATGATTATATGGAGGAACCATCACTTCCCTACGGAAAATACCAAATAATCTCGATAATTATGTTATTATTTTTAAATTTTAAATAAGGCAAGTTGAAAAAAAAAACTCAAATGCTCAAAAACAGAATTTAATTTCTATTTCAACGTAACTCTATACTTCCATCAGTAAAATTGTATTTTGATGCTCGCAAAAATCCATGCAACAAAGATGAGGACTTCATGCCAGAGTCGAATGGTATTATTTTAATTTAGTATGAATTATTTGCCTAGGCCATTTGAGCTGTCATATAAGAAATTTGATACACAAATAATAAATAATTTAAGTCATTGCCTAATTCAATGGACATGTCTTTCCACGTTCTTTATGTTAATATATTAAATATGGGAGGTTCGACGCAATTATTGATTTATTTATTTGTGCTAACTGCTTTAGGATTAGATGCCATTTACTTTACTAATGTTTGGATTATTATGCTAATTATGCAAATAAAGTAAGAGACCGACCCTTCAAATTTGATAAGAATGCACGTACGGAAAAGCCTAAGGACAAAGCTACGTTGGATTTAGTTTACGCCAGTAGTCTCGTACCTGAATTTTCTTAACATTTCAATGAGAATATAACAAATAATATTTTTTTGGAGCATTTTGTAGTTTAGTCATGTATTTTTATTTTTGAGCTTTTGTTCTGGTTAATCCGTCACATATCATTTCATAACTTTTCTTTACGCGACGTAATTTTCTTTTGGTCATCATAAGTTCCATTAGTTCTATAGTTCGTAATATTCCAAAAAAAAATAGTAATCAACCTATGTTTATAGTAGGTTTCTTTTCCTATTGTTAGTAATTTACCGAATGGTTCATGGCATTTCTTCGGCATAAATAATTATCCTCATTAATCATAATTTATCAGTAAAACATCATTTTATTAACTTTTTATTTAGAGGGTGTAATTTCTCTTTGGTGGTGGTAAGATCTTTAGGTGCTATAATTCTTAGTATTCCACAAAAAATGGTATTCTACATAAATTAATAGGAAATTCCTTTTGTGTTGTTGTTAGTAAAAAATCTAACTGACCATAAATTTCATTTTCAACGTATAGAACTTTCCAGTCCATATGTCAATAATTTTCCTCAATCATCATAACTTGTTCTAATTAAACGTAAGTTTGATCACCTTTGCATTCGTAAATTTCCTTCCACAGCAGAGCTCAATTTATTTTACGAAAAATGACTGATTTGTATAACATTTTTCAAAAACTGATCGTTTATATTTTTTACAGAAATAAATGAATGAAAAATATTTTCATAAATTATTATTTTTAAAAAAAATATTTTTTAAATTGCTTAGTTTTTGCAAAATAAACGGGAGCCAAATTCGAGACGTACGTTCATGAAAATTCCAAGAAAATTTCCAACTTTTCACCTTGGCCGCGAGAATTACGATGATTCAACGCGTGATTTATCGCCGGGGTTAAGAAATCTTAGGATTAATCGCAAGATTCTAACCGCGCGAGCTCCACGCACGTGTCGTGACGACACGTGTCGACATCCAGCGGGGCGTGTGCCCCACGGGGCCCTTCGTCGCGTGACCTTGTCCCGCCTCGTTACTCTCTCTCTCCTCGGACCTCCAAAAAATTTCACCTTTTTTCTTTTTCGGATCTCTCCGACCTCCATCGTTACCAACAGTCCAGCGCGATGAGCAGCCGCGACTGAATCCGACCCAGTAGCCATTCCTCGTCGCGTGTCGCGATTTCGATCCTGCCCACTTCGATTCCTTCGGTTTCTGGTCGGAATCATCCCCTTCTGGTGGAGGTCGCTGTCGCGGGTTGCTTCCTCGCTTCGGCTCCGTCTCCCTCTCCCTCGTCGCTGTTGCTGTTCGTTTCTTGAATAGTATTAAAATTCGGGAGCTTTTTCATTGGGGGATTAAGCCGTTGAGCTCTCGCCATCGGCATCCGAATTGGGTGTTGACGCGTTGTCGTCGAGAGGGGAGTTGTTGTTGGTGCGGGTGGCTGTTGGGTTTCGTGGTTTGACTCCACTCGAAGCAACACTCCCTCCACCCCTCCTCTCCCTAAACTCCTCTTCCCTCCTCTCGGTCCATGGCCTTCGCATCGTTTTCTCGCGACGAGGTGGGTGATCGCAGCAGTCAACGAGGCCGCGATTCGGAGCTCGAGTTCGACCGCAGTTGACCCGCGATTGAAAAATTCGTCGTCTTGTTGTTCTTGTTCTTGTTCTTTTGCTGACATGGTCGCCGCGAGGAGGGAGCTGCGGTTCTTGCGCTCCGAGGCGATAAAGTTGGGACTATGGCTGGGGATTCTCTTCTATCGCCCGGTGGCGGCTTTGCGGCCGTTGAGGGAGATGAGCCGGTCTTGGGCCGACGAGGTTAGTTGACGGGTCCTTGTCGATTTGGATGTCCAGTGCGTGATTGAATCCGTCAGTTTAGCTGAGACTGAGGTTGGAGTCTCTTCGCGTTTTGATGTCATGATCAAGAATTGTTTGGGTTGATTGGTTGATGGGTGGTTCGTGCTTGTGGCTTTACTGTTGATTGAGTTCGTGTGGCATTTTAGTGAGTTTTCAGTGTGTTGAGAGGAGTGTTTTTGATCTTGCATTTTGTTTGCAAGTGTGATTGTTGAGCGACTTTATAGCGGGGGCGCTTAAGATTCTTTAATGAGGCTTTGTGGGTGAGCTCATGGCGAACAAACTTTTCTCAAGATGGATTACAATGTGTAGGTGGAGAGGAGGTTGTCCAGTCAGGTATTAGTAAAGTCTCACATACTGCTGAATTTGAATCTGATCTTACATTTGAAGAGAGAACGAGATGCCAGGGATTGGGGGCTATTATCCTAGAATGAGCTTACTATATTCATTTAGGTTCTCAGTTTTGCTGTCCTATCAAATTTCCATAACGAGGGAACGGATAGTAAGTAGTAGGTACAGTTCATGTACATGGGTCTCTACCATCAGTGGGCTAAGGTGACGTGTTAGATTGGATGGTCAGGTGCACTTCAGTGCAAAAATAATTCTCGTTACCAAAAATAAAGTCTCTCCCTCTG